GAGGAAGAGATTATTAAATCCCCTTTATCTGAAAATTACACAGTGCAATAGGGTAAACACAAATATTTTGTGTATATACTATATACAAATTTTTGAATCCCCTTGAAACAACAACTTTTAGTGTGGTGGAAAAGGTGGTTAAAAAATACAAGATGCTGCATTTTACAATTTTTTACCCTTGTTAAAATTCCTAGTCCGCTACTGGGTATTGGGAAGACTAATCATTGCATGCTTGCGAGCTAAATATATGCTTCATTATTCTGTTTTATGAATATAGTTTCTGCTCCGTTGATTTATAACTGTATTTACTGGTAAGATACATATGGTTGTTGTAGTTTGTCGGATGAAGTTTTCTTGTTGGCTTGGGGGAGTGGGGTGTTGGAAGACTAAGAATTTCATGCTTGGAAGCTAAATTTGTACAAAATAGTTGAACTAGAAGGTCCAGAAAAGAGGAAGGTGTTAATTTTAGTGGTAACGTTGCAGAATGCTTGGTGGGGAAAAAATACTAGGTCTCATGTTCAAACCCCAGTGGAGGTAAAAAAACATTATCTTCCTATCTGCTTAAGCCTTGGTGCGCCCGGTACCTGTGCTGGTGGGAGGTAGCAAGTACCCGGTGGAATTAGTCGAGGTATACGCAAGCTGGCCTGGACACCACTGTCATCAGGAAAAAACAGTTACAGAATGCTTCATATTAGGATGATAGTCACATTGATGTAACAAAAAGTTTGATTTATTGTTGTTAGTATTGGAAATAATATTGCATTCTTGCCATTGCCCGGGAGGAGGGTGTAGAAGGAGGAGGAAATAATATCTTTGAATCAGTTGTACGCCAAGAAAGTCAGGTTCCTTCCATTTATGAAAGCTGCTTTTTTGGGCTGTGTCTTTCTATCACATGAGCCACTTGAGAACAAGAATAAAGATGGAATGTGGCTCACTACTTGTCAGCATTTGTATTCCCACAGCCGCTTAAATGTATGTGTATGCTCCTTATCAAAAAAAAAAAATGTATGTGTATGCACTTCGGTCCCAAGGTTTCTAAATGCTCTAGCATTTGAAGCAAAGTTAGGATGCAAGGGCCGTTGAAGCGTGCTCTTTTGTGGATCCACTATCACCATGTGTAGAAAGCTAGATTGTTATGAACATTCAGTTATAACTTCTGTCCTCCTATTCAATTTAGATATCATCCTGTTCAATTTTAGATGTCGCCATACCTGTTCTTTCACATTGACCACTCACCGGAAAATGCTCTTCTTTTTTTTTTTTTAAAAAAGCCTGTAGACCAATTATTTAATGAGAGCTGCTGTACTGTCTTCTTTGTGTCAACTTCCTGTCTCCACTTTATTTTGGAACTATTGATAAACTGTCAATTTTTCCAATGATCATCACCAGCTTCCTTCACCCTAATAAAAGTTTTTGCTTTACCTATTTGTTGGCACTGAACATGTATACCTTTATGGCTAGCTGCCTTTCGATAACCTAAGGGATCGTTTGGTACTAGGATGGATAAACAAGGATATTCTATGGGATTAGCTATCCCACCTTCTATATGGGATAGCTAATCCCACCATTTTAGTACAAAGTGTCGCAGGAGTCAGGACTAATTAATACCCATAACCAAACGTGGGATAGAATAATCCTGCATTTTATCCCAGGATTGTTATCCCTTATCCCACCAACCAAACGGCCCCTAAAGGTATTAGTGGCTCACTTCACAAATACTTTTGGATGTTCATACCAGTGACACTATCAACCTTTGCTCACAATATCCATCCTCATCTCTAGATCCACCTCTGCAAGCTTCCGCCTGCATTCTTTTTGAAGCTTACAGGCATAATTTTGACCATTATCCAATCACTCGGAATTTCATAGTAGGCTCTCATTTGTGGTTGTTGATCCCGATAGGTTTGACTAGTTTTGAGCAGACCTTCATTCGAGAGTAAGTAGCTTTATTTAAGTTCAGCATCTTTTAACCATAATTTCAGGTTGCCGAATAAGTTTGAGTTGTAACTGAAGGAGACCGTAGAAAGATGATGATTTGGGAGGAGGCTTTATAAATGTTCGTTGATGAGTTTGGATGTTTTCTTTCTTTTTTTGGGGGTGAGTGGGTGGGTGGTGATCAGGAGTTTGAGCACTCGTGAGCTTTAGTTACTTGCATTTATGGATGGTGTTCCCTAGGTTCCTTGCTGATAGTTCATCTCTTATCAACAGAATAATGCTGGACGATTTGCACTTTGTGGTCTTCAAGCATCTAATATTCGAGATGACATGATGTTTCTGCACTTGACACCTAGATGTTTTTATATATAGGAACCAATGGGGTGATAACAACTAACAAGTGATAACTGATTTAACACCTTAAGAAAGAAATAAGAAAAAATTGGGTATCTGTATGTACTTGTTCTTGTTCTATTATGCCGTTTTTATTTAGATAAGACATCATTGGCACCATTGTATTTCAGATTTCATTTACCCCACTTTGCAGACAGGCGCAGCACACAGCTGGACGTGTATGGATCTGTATGTATTTGCTACACCTTATAGGATAACCTGGGACTACTACTTTTCGGCCCACGATCACACATTTAAAATTGAGTCATGGGAGGAACCTGCTGAAATGGAATATGTATGCTCTCGTTTTGAGCCTTTTTTTCTGTATAGCTCCAATGGATGTCCATACATTTACAGTTGACCTTTAAACAACTTTTATGCAGGTCAAGCAACATGGAATCTCTGTGTTTCTCATGCCATCAGGGATGCTCGGGACCTTGCTTTCGTTGGTGGATGTACTACCCCTGTTTTCTAACACAGCATGGGGCCAGAATTCTAACCTCGCTTTTCTGAAGAAGCGCATGGGAGCGACATTTGAGAAACGCCCACATCCGCGGACAACAATTAATCCAGATGATGTTCATTCTGGTGATTTCCTAGCTCTGTCAAAGATTCGTGGACGGTGGGGTGGGTTTGAAACTCTTGAGAAGTGGGTCACTGGTGCCTTTGCTGGTCATACAGCAGTTTGTTTGAAGGATGAGTTGGGTAATCTTTGGGTTGGTGAATCTGGACATGAAAATGAAAAGGTGAGCAAAAGAGAAAATCTATGTATTTTTCCACTAAACTACATGGACAAACAGTAGTGGAAAATGTAAAGAACTGGATTTCCGTGTCTGATAAATAAATTTTCAGTTAATGTATGCTCTCCTTTACTTTTATGCAACTTTTCTTATGGATAGCAGTTCACCTCTGATGAGTTACTTATACCTCATTGTGCTATCCCTCTCTATCCCTGAAGGGAGAGAGGGATGACTCCCTCAGTTTTATTGTTAGCTTTTAAAGCGTGTATACCCCTTGTTCTTCCTGAGCCGGGGTTTTCTGAGCTTCTTGTTGATCTTCTTGGTGTATGCTCCTGTTGGTGTGGGAGCTTATTTCGACGTGTTGAGCGTTACGCGAGACCACGTCCACGGGAATTGGTTCTGGTGCATTCTCAGGGTTTCGTGGTGGTACACCAACACCTGGGACATCGACACCATTTTCCCCATAGTCTTCAAGATTGTTGTTTTCACGTGCATTTACTGAGTTAGACATTTTGACCTGAAATCAAAGATCTTGGACAAGAAAAGTGTGAAAGATAACTTGCGTTATGTAGCGAACCAGCAAGAAAATAATCATTATTATTTTAGCCCCTGTTGGCGCCAACTGTTACCTTGAAATAATAATTAT